GGGTCTTCTTACTCTGGAGTGCTCCTCAGGTGTGTGGGTTGGCAATGTGGATGTATTTCCACATGGCCCTTTCTTCTCGAGGAGTAGTGTGTCGGGGGGGCTGCAGGTGGTAGCGATGTGACAGGTGAGGTATGCTTAAGCTGTCTGCTACTTAAGCGCTGCTAAAACTCCTAGTATATTCTGTCAAATTTTGATTCAAAGGCTTCCTTCCAGCTCTGGGTGTGCAGGCTTGTGAAGCTCAGCATACACTTCAATACGTAGGCCATTTTGGGTTTGCCTCGTGATGGCCAGATACTCTGGTGTACAGGGTCTGCTGCTGAATGTAGGTGCTTGTCCCAATGGGATAAACCCCATTGGCCCGAGGGGGGAGGGGGAAGGGCGGGTGTAATGGGGCTGCTTAATATTCACATGGAACTATGCAGCTTTAGCCAGAGGATCGGCCGCTTCCCCCAACAGCTCAGAAGTAATCTCAGGGTCCTGATCGCTTTACTAATGAATCCTATAGTTAGGAAGTGAAGACATGGCTTTGAGTTAAAATATTTGATAAATGGAGGAGAGAAGGCAAAGTGTTTTGTGGGAGATGTGAACATTTGTCCAATTTAGTTAGTGAAGATTTCATGTAATTAGTGTAATGCGTCACTTGGTGAAAGTGAAATATATATATATAGTTTGTTTACCTTTTGAATTGTGTGTGGTTTACTATTGCGGTAAAATTATTTAGAGGGGAGGAATTGTGATTGTGACTATTCCAATGGGTAGGAGAGTATTCTGGAATACATTCCATAATATCAATGTGGGGGGCTTGTGGGGTCCCAGACAGGTCACGATTGTGAGATATTTGGGGGTATGTTAAGGCAGAGAGGGTACAGGAACAATCAGAAAGCTACCCCTATCTGACAGGGTTTAGTGAAACGTGATCTACTCTATTCTACCACAATCTAAGATCATTGAGGCCAGATGGGCCTGTAAATTCCATACAGTTCAGGTTCCTTGCCAAACGTGATGCTCAAGGAGAGATGTAAGCCTCCAGTGTTCATACTGTAACTGTTAATACTGTTTTGAATTTGGATTTTTGTGGTTGGCAGTTGTAGAGTATTCTCAGTCTCTGAAGAAGGTTAGTGGGTCTAAAAGGTCAGAGATTTAACAGCATGGTTGATTCTGGTCATAGGCTGGAATGTGTCTTTACCAAGTAAGAACAAATGTCTGTGAGCATGACTGTCAAGTGTGAGAGAAAAATATATAATCCAGTGTGATTTGCCAGTAAACTCTTAGTAGCTGTTTAAATCTTCAACTGGGTTTGGAACCACTACACGAAGGTGTGTTTACATTTTGGCTTCTTATTAGAATCCAAATTCTGTCAACTGCGTCTCATTACAGGCCCCAGCTATGTGTCTGTGATGCTCGGCCTGGAGCTCGCAATCTGTGACATCACACAGCATTACCTCCACCCAGCTTTTTTATCATTTGGGAAATTGATGCCACATGTCCTAGCAAGCCGGTTGTTTTCTCTTGTATTCATCTGAAGAGTAATTATTTAACTTTCATTTAAGGCTTATCGCAGAGAGTAGATACCATCTCCTCGGTTTGTTTGCCATAGGAATGTGGATAATCTATTTAAAGCTCTGTCTCTCTTCCATTATTACTGAAAGGAATTTGTTGTAGATTGCAAAACAATAAAATGGTTCTGATTGCATTCAGATCTTTCACATTTTTTAAAGATGAAAATACATTGACTTGTTTGTGCTGTACGTCACAAGGAATTTTATCTCCATTTATGAGAAGTTTTGTTTATAGAGCAATGAATACTGCATGAATCACTGAAACCAGCAATGTATTATGAAACAAACGTAATATCTCGGAGCAGGCAGTGGGACCTGCCGCCATCTTTAATGTCCCACAACCTCCATTGGTGCTGATTGTGTCTGTTCTTTCACGAATCAGTCGTGTGGAATAAAGAGTATGTGACAGATATCATATTGTTTGTTTACCCCTGGTACATCTGTGTTTAATGGCCAGACATTACCAATGGCACAAGATCAGCCACCACTCAGATCGCACCAAGTGACAGCTGAACCAAAAAATGAAGAATATTTTCGCCAGTGTGAGCTGGCTATAATTAGGGTTTATCTATAACACTGCATACAATATCACACAAACCCAGAAGTGACAATTGATGGATTATTTTCAAACAATAATGAGATGGCAAAGATAATGTCTCCCAGTATTGTATGTAAATGCCTTGAAGGAGACTTTATTGGGTAAGGAATTCCTGTGCCCCCATCATTGGCCGGTGCCATGCAGCTGGTTTGGGGCTTCTACGCCAATTTATTATTTTTTTTACAAATTGTATTATTTTGTGACATCCAGTAACATAAAGTAATATATTGCAAGCTTTCAGCAATTATTTTTCATGTAAACTATTACAGTTTATACAGCGTGATTTTATGAACATGCAGAACGTTTTATATGAAATGCTGATATAGTCGCTGTGTCTGTACCATTGGTGAAATCAAGTGATTCATAAAAACCATGAATGAAGCTCCACCCAATCTAACAGAGCTTCCATTCATTCATTTATATCAATGTCTTGATTCGTGTATCTCACAATGCAGGTAGTATAGCTCCAAATCTGGCTGCCATTTATAGGAGATGATCAGATTTTTATTTAATCTCACGGCACGATGCTGTTAATTTGCACTAATCACAGGATTGTCAATAGTGAATTCTGTTTTTTTCTTGGATGATTTCACAATGCATTGAAAAGGCAGTGTCGGGTCCACCCTGGAATATCCCTTTAATGATCAGCCCTGCTGCTGCAGTCTACGAATGAAAAGTCCCTCTAGGAATATTCGCATACCATGCGTGGAATTCCCATCATAAAACAAGATGGGCGACAAAGCCCTGAGCCCAGGCCCCGACAGGGCTATATCAGTTCACCCAACATTCCCATTGTACAGCGCTAAGGAATTTGCTGGCGCTATATAAATAATAATAATCACGCTGTCTGATGACGGTGCCAATAAAACCATCGAAATATTTATATTTACTTAGAGGAACCAACACACTTTAGATGTAGTTGGTTTATCCTGGAAAACAAATGGCATAACTACACAGGAATTTCAATCACAGGCTTCTACATAAGGCACAGCCATAGGAGGAGTGGCTAGCAGGGACTGTGTAAATCATACATGACAGAGAGAGACTGTGGGGACATGATCTATACATCAAAACTGCTTTATTAAAGGGACACTCCACTGCCCAAATACAAAAAAGAATCACTGTTTAGTAGATATACCCCAAATGAAAACTTGCATTCATTTAATTATGTATTTTTTCATTGTTGGTATATCTAGGATCAGCTTGCAAAACCTGCAGTTCTCTTGTCTGCAGCCTTTACAAGCCCAGCCTTTCTGTGGCTGTCCAATCGCAGACTCCCCAATGCAGTCCAATGAGAAGTCTGTGTAAGTCAGGTGCTCTGGGCTATTGCTACCTTTTGAGGTCAGCTGCATAGAGCTAAC